AAAAGTAGTAGTGGGCTTCAAGGGACTGCTGTGCATCATCTGCTCCATGGAATGATCAGGTGCAGGAAAGGCACCGACCATTGTCACATCCAGTTCATTGTCGTCTTCGGATAGGCCTTCTAATTCCGTACCATCTTGACTATTGGTTTGCTCGAGACTGCCGGTTTCAGAACGGGATGCGCTGGAACGGTCGTCATCTAAAAAAGAGTCCTGGTCTAGTTCCTCCTCATCGGTATCCATCGCTTGATCCTCCATTCCCCCATCATTCCCGCCCTGGCCAAGAAACGCCCCAGGAACAAGCTTCCGTTTCTTGAACTCAAACGTATCGTCCTCCATTCCGGTTGTGGAATCATCCATGTACGACTCGTTGAGAGAGATGGTGGAATCGAACTCAGAGTTTGCGAAGGACGACTGTGTGGGAGTTTGGGTTTGAGCCTTTGGAGTAGGAGTGTCAGGAGGAGGCGCACTCAAAGTGCTTTGATCAAAGTTCTCACCTTCATCATCATCGTCATCATAATCTAGGCCATAAGTCGTGAAATGAGGCACTTTAAACACCCAGGTTCCAGTAAGCTTCTCATAGGCGATAAACTCGGTATTCGTAACTCTCTTTAATCGTTCGACATGTCTATCGAAGGTTGGGCCGCTCGTCATGTGCGACGGGGCTTTCTTATCCCTACCTCTAGGCCAGGAGTTTTCAATTCGTAGGGTGGAAGGGACATTTAGGCCTTTGCCTCGAGGTGGTTTAGTCACATCATCGGGGTAAACTGTAATTGACCGGGTGCCAATTTTAATAAACTTATCGAACAGTGAGTCGAGATCAACAGTAGTAAGATCCACAGGCTCATCGAAAGTGACAGAACCACAGCCCGCACGCCCGACAGTAAAGCCAACAAAGCATTTCTGCTGTTCTCGGGGTAACTTGCTAAGTTCAGATCGAGTAGGCTTCATCCAATATTCCCCAGGTTTGGGATCACCACCGGGAGCCTTGGCAGGAACTTCACCAGGGGGCGAAACAGCTGCGCCATCTTGCTCACGCCCCTCGGGAACAATAGAAAGCTCATTGCCTCGAACCTGTTCCATTTCAGGTACATTGCTGGCAGCTCCGTTGACGCCATTCACATCCTTGACCGTGCCATTTGTTCCATTTACTCCAGCGGGTTGCTTTCGAGATGAGCGCAAGAAGCCCAGCTCCTCTGCAGTCGGTTCAGGGCTCTCAGTCTCAACACGAACAACAGAACCATCGGCCTCAGCTCCAGAATCTCCGCCAGTAGTTTGAGAATCAAAGCTAACTTTCTTCTTGAGCTTGCTTGATCCTTGATCCTCGCCGTTGGTAAGAGAAGGCGACTGGGTGGAACGCGAGAACAAGTCAGTTCGAAGGCTACGATCAATGGTAAGCCGTTTGAGATTTGCATTCGAGTATCGTGAGGTTCCAGCTGAGAATGCGCCAGGGGACAAGATGCTATCCGTACTGCCATCGAAGGTTTTCCGGAGATTACTAGTGGACATGCTTTTGTTGAAGCTACGTCCAAGACTGCCGCCACGTAAACTTCCACCAAGGAGGCTACTGCTCAAAGCACTCGGAGTACTATAGCTGCTGGATGGTGTGCCATAAGTGGAGTAAGAAAACCCATAACCTTGACGAGTTGGCGGTGTGATGAGACGATTGGCAGCACTAGGTGAAATTTTGTAAACTGGCAAGGGTGTTCGCTGTTTTTGGCGGATGGTAGCAGACAACGGAGTAGCCAATGGGCCTGGCGATGGGGCATTTGGAGGTGGCAGACCGGAAAATATCGACTGACTACCGTACGGATTTCCGTCAAGAAGAGAAGCCTGCAAACCAGTAGCCTGCTGTTGTTGAGGTTGCTGCGACTGGTTTAGCAAGCTGCTTCCGAAGCCTCCAACAGGCTGTTGTTGTTGCTGCTGCTGAGGCTGGCCCGCTCCTCCCAAGTTAAACAAACTGGTGCCACCACCTGTAGCATTGGCGGTTTGTCCAAAAGCAGGCTGCGTAGTGGAACCTCCGAAGAGGCTTGGCTTCTGCTGTTGTTGAGCTTGGCTTCCAAAGAGGCTTGTGCCAGCTTGTTGTGTATTTTGGGCCCCGAAGCCTGAAAAGGGGGTAGTTCCCGTGGTGGTCTGCCCAGCGTTTAAATTACCAAATAGGCTTGGTTTCTGTTCCTGCTGTTGCTGCTGCTGATTACCACCTCCAAAGAGACTGGTGGTGCCAGTTTGTTGATTGGCGGTATTTCCGAAAAGGGATGTACCTTGTTGAGGCTGTTGTTGGGCAGTCTGACCGAATAACCCAGAGGTGCCGGTAGTTGCGCCACCAAATGGGTTCGTGCTTGGTTGCTGTTGCTGGGTGGTTGTGCCTCCAAATCCTCCGAATAAGGGTTTACTTGGGGTTTGGGCTTGAGTTTGTCCGAATCCGAAGCCGGTACCGGTCGTCTGCTGTTGGCCTTGCTGCTGCCCAAAAGCGGGGGCCGTGGCCGTTGTACCGCCAAATGGCGAAGCGCTAGTTGTAGTTGTACCCTGTTGCCCAAATCCGCCAAACGCGCTTCCTGTGCCACCGAAAGCGGGTCTATTTTGTTGGGTGCCGCTTCCGAAAAGCGTTGCACCGCTCAGGTTACTCGTTGAGCCGAAGCCTCCGGTTGTTGCTGTGGTACCAAATCCGCTAGGTTGCGATGTGGTGGCTGCGCCGAATAATGAAGTGGCTGGTTTCGATGCACCGAATAGTGGGTTGGATGTACCGGTGCCGAAGCCAGTTGTCTGAGTTTGCCCGAATCCGGTTGGAGCAGTCGTAGCAGAAGCTCCAAAAGGGGTGGTTGTTGTCGAGGCGCCAAATGCTCCGGTAGTTGGTGGTTGTTGTTGTTGTTGCCCGAACCCCCCAAAAGCAGAGGATCCAAATCCCGTCTGTCCAGTGGTGGTGCCATATCTCCGCCCGTGTTGGTAATCAGCAACTCGAAGTTCCTATTTCCTAGTTAGTAACTGGAAGCAGCAAGTAGGAAAAGCGGAAAAATCGCCCAAAAAAAGCATACCTCAAAGGAATACTTGGAATATGGCGCCATCGCGCTTATGGTTTGGTAATGACTGGTAATGCTGGAACCCTGATCCTTTTCCGTGTATGCGCTGAATGGAGGATTTGCTGTGCCCTCGGCAGGTGGAACAGCACCACTCAAAGCAGTACCACTCGCGCCAAATGCAGAACCAGCTTGCCCAAAAGCAGTTCCTCCGGTTGCAGTTCCACCAAACATAGAACTTCCCTGGCCAGCGCTCCCAAATCCGGTTTGCTGTGGCTGTTGCTGGGTACTCCCAAAAACGCCGGTGCCAGTGGTCCCAGTAGCAGTGCCTCCAAATCCCGTTCCTCCACTTCCAAAGCCTGAACCGCCAAACGTCGTACTAGGTGTGCTGGACGCTCCGAAAAGATTGCCACCGGTGGTTGTAGTTCCAGCTCCAAATCCTTTATTTTGCGATCCGAACATAGGATTTGATTGTGCAGTGTTCATGCCGAATCCTGGAGAAGAGGAAAAAGAAGACGGGGTCAGTTCACAGTGTCCATTTGAATAAAATATGAAGCAGAGGAAGATCGCAAGGCCAGCAAACACATATTCGTAATATATATATTGGTGGACAAGCGGTAAAATGTAGGGAAAAGGCTATCCTTCGGAAACACCAAGATCAAAGCGGCATCATCCTCGACAAGATAAGTGAGTCCACGCCGAGATTGTGCCAGATATTTCAAGGAATGTACTTTGACCAATCCTGGATGGTTCGCCCAGAAGGATAGCGTTCGAAACAAGCAACAATATGCAAAATCACACTTTTGGGTTTTGCGCGGCCATTTTTGGCATGGACCGGAGAAAGTCAAAGAAGGCTGATTTGGTTTGCCAAAGACAGAGCTCAAGAAACATAAAAAATCTACGTCGAGTATCGGGTAGACTGGTAACGACGTACCTCCTCCTGAGCCGAAGCCGCCAGAAGTGCTTCCAAACGCACTGCCTGTATTTCCTGTGCCGCCGAAGGGGGACGATGTTGTTCCGAAGCCTAGACGATTGGTAAAATCGCGTCAGACGGACATCTGGTTGCTTAATTTCTGTTTCTTGCTTTCTTGGTTTTTTTTTCCCCTCTTCCTTTCCATGGCGTTCCAGCGGCGTCCGGGGGTTCATCCTTGTCGACATAAGTCGAACGACGAGAGGGGAAGAACCAAGATCCGGGGAAGTTGCCGCCAAAGTTTCGCCGAAGTAGAGATTCCGTATCCACCAAAGAAAAGAAAAAGGGCATTGAAAAGGGAAAGTAAGGGAAGGGAAGGTGAGAAGAAGTCGAGGGTAAAGCAAAATGGCAAACAAAGGGAGTGGAGGAAGAGGCATATAACCTACCAGTTCCAGTCGAAGAGCCACCGAATCCTGTTCCGGATCCAAATCCAGTTCCCTGCTGCTGATTTCCCGTCCCAAACCCTCCGAAGGAGGAGCCTGTGTTGAAAGCCATGACGAAACACTGACTGGCTTTAGGTGTCTCTCTCTCTCTATAACTTAACTGCGCAATTTCGCTTTTACAGGAAGAACAATATCAGTTCTCCGCCACGTCAACAGGGCCGATCCATAAACGATTAAAACGGGTCGAAGCTGGTTATCGAAGGTAGATATATTAAAGAGTCGTTAGGTTTTAGCCTGGGAGGGATGGGCTTGGAGGCGAAATATAGTTCACGACTCGAAGCAAAGCAGATGCGATGATGCTGAAACGCGGAGAAGGGGCGAAAACTCTGTGTTTTGATGGAGAGCAACGAAGATCATAGAAGAGAGTAGAAAGAAAATGCGATTTAGCAAGATTAAATAAAGAGGAGTCGAGGGGATTTGTGACTTTGCCACAGCTGTGGAGAAGGAAAAAAAAGACGAAGGCGGGGGAGGTGGTGAAGGGTGAAGCTGGTGGGTGAAGCTGAGGTTGAGGATAGACGTTGTTCGGGTGAAGAAGGCAAACACGCGAGTTTGCGGCAACAGCGGGGGCATCGCTTAGCTGGCTGTTTGAGGTAAGGAGGCTCGGGTCAGGTGACGCGGCTATGCCTAAAATCGACAGCGTGTCGGCGCTAGGCAGCATTCAGCCATGTATCTTCCTTGGCAGATGCATGTCCGATATCAAATATAATAATCATAGTTCGCTGTAAATAAATAAATATACTGGACCAGGTCTCCATTGTAATCTATCGATGAATCATAATACACACGTGAACATAAGACTCAGAAGATCATGACCACCTACGGACAGGACAAGGCGACTCTTCACGCTCAGTCCACGCAGCAATGGGCTAGGGAATGCCTAAAAACCATGACCAACTAACAAGGTCAACTTCTAACCACATGCCTAACCATACATATCTAATAAGAATCGTAACAGGGAAAGATAAAATCGGTGGGGCACGCAATTCAGGCTTTTCGCGATAAAAAAAAAATAAAAAAAATAGCACAAAAGCAATAATAGCAGGTGGCTTCAATACAACCAAGGACAGGGAGGTGTATAATACTAAAAAACTGCCATCTATCTCCGTTGGTGTTTTGTGTTGGTTTGGGGCCCCTTTTAGTTCCCTTCTGTGGCACTCCATACTCCCCATCATTTATTCGTTTTACGGCGTGTCCGCGGGTATATATCTTTCGCTTTATTCATTCATTTTATTTTTATTTTCATTATTTTGGAAAACAAAAGAAATACCCTTCTTCTTCTTTGAAGCATGGTAAGTATCGATGATTTTCGCAACAACACTTGGGTCGGATAGCTAAAGTAACTCCGATTAGTATTCCCTTCACAAGCCCCCAAAAAAAAAAAAAAAAAAAAAAAAAAAAAAAAAAAAAAGAAGGAAAGATAGAGGGACTTACAGTCGAGATATCACCCAAGCTATCCTCCTCACCGCTAAGAATCTTTCTCAAGATTCGTCGCATGATCTTACCACTTCGAGTCTTCGGCAGGTCATCAACGATGAATACAGCCTTGGGAGCAGCAAATGGCCCAATCGATTTGCGAACTTGCATGATAAGATCCTTGTGGAGTTGTTCGACATTGTCGCTGCTGGCCTTCAGGGCGACAAAGGCGTTGACGGCTTGTCCGGTGAGTTCATCCGCAATACCGACGACAGCCGCTTCAGCCACAGCAGCTATTTTGGAAGGAATTATTTATCAGCATGTTTGTTCTAGCTTAAAATGCCATTGTTGCGATCTTTGGTTCCAATCCGACTCACAGTGTTCAATAAGAGCAGCTTCAATCTCTGCAGTTGACAGACGGTGGCCAGAAACATTGACAACGTCGTCAACACGGCCTCGGATCCAGTAGTATCCGTCAAGATCACGTCCAGCACCATCGCCAGTGAACTAAAATGAATCGTCAGCAAGGGTTGTTACCGTGGAAGATCTCCTTATATATGACTTACGTAAAAGCCCTTGTAGACATTGAAATATGTGTCCATATATCTCTTGTGGCCACCCCAGACTGTGCGGGCCATACTGGGCCATGGCTGTTTAATGGCTAGGACACCTTCAACGTCGTTACCTTTGATTTCCTCTCCCGATACCGGGTCAATGATGGCAGGTTCAATGCCGAAGAAGGGGAGCGAAGCACTGCCAGGTTTCGTTGGCGTGATGCCACCCAGGGGGGTAATAACGTGGGAGCCGGTCTCAGTTTGCCAGTATGTCTATTTTCTTCAATGTTAGAATTGAATGCTTAAATCAAGGCTAGGAATACTTTTCATCAACACTGGATTTTTGCCAAAACATACGTCAATAAGATGACACTCTTCCCTTCCAACGACCTCGAAATACCATTTCCACACCTCGGCCGCAATTGGTTCGCCAACAGAACCCAAAATACGGAGACTCTTGAGTTTGTGGTGGATGTAGTCATTTCCAGCACGCTTCAGAAGTCTCAGAGCAGTTGGGGCAACATAGAACTGGGTCACCTTGTGCTTCTCAATAACATCCCAATAACGGGAGAAGTTAGGATATGCCGGCGTGCTCTCAAACACCAGAGTTGCACATCCAAGAAGCAGAGGAGCATATACGACATAGGTGTGCCCCGTAATCCAACCAACATCACCACCGCAGAAGAAGCGGTCTGAGTCATGAATATCAAACACATATTTGCCAGTTGCGGCCGCGCCAACCAAATAACCAGCTGTCGTGTGCATCAGACCCTTGGGCTTCCCAGTCGAACCGGATGTGTACAGGAGGAAGAGAGGATCCTCCGAGTTCATTGACTCAGGGGGAATGTAGTTGGGATACTTCTCGACCTCCTCATGCCACCACAAATCTCGGCCCTTCGTCCACGGCACATCAGCGCCCGTCCTCTTGTACACAATGCAGTTTGTGACATCCGGGCATTGACTGAGGGCCTCGTCAACAATCTTCTTGGTCCCAATCAGCTTCCCACCACGCTTCCCCTCGTCTGTGGTAATGACAACTTTCGACTTGGCATCCAAGACGCGGTCGCGGAGAGAATCCGAGGAGAACCCAGCAAAAACGACGGAGTGAACCGCACCAATACGAATACACGCCATGAACGCAATCACGGCCTCGGGAATCATAGGCAAGTAAATGGCCACGGTATCCCCCTTTCTAACACCAGCCTGCTTCAGCACCCAGGCCATCCGGGAAACTTCCTTCAGGAGCTCGCCATATGTAATAGTGCGACCTTCATTGGGTTCATCCGCCTCGTAAACGATAGCCACCTTGTTGGGATCCTTGATAGCATGGCGGTCGACGCAATTGTACGACGCGTTCAAACGCCCACCAAGGAACCACGCAACGTCTCCGCCTTCAAAGGAGCCGTTGCGGGTGGTGTCGAAATCCTTTTCGAATGTAATGAGCTCACGGGCCAGCCGTGCCCAAAAAGTATGCGGGTCACGGATCGATTCTTCATAGAGCTTCTTATACTCGTCCAGGTCCTTTAGATGGGTTCTCGTAGGATGGTTCTCGACAAAAGCTTGGGGGACATGGAAAGTGTCAACCTCGTGGGCTTCAACAACCTGCGTCGGGGAACAGGCAATTAGTATTATTTTCTGATCTATCCCCCAGGTCGAAAACTGCAGTTTGCCGGTCCATTGAGTAAAGGGGCAATCACTTACTACTGGCGCCTTAGGCGGCGTAATGGGACCATCAGACATTGCGGCCAAATGTTATTAGAAATTCCCGAATCGACTGTATAAAGTATGCCGTGGGCTTGGAGGGTAGATATACTAATGATTTCCGGTTGACCGGGAATGCGGGGTACGAAATGCGCAAAAGTGTAAACACAGGATCGGTCGCAAGAGAGGAGAGAGAGGAGAAGGGGAAAAAGGAGAGGAGGAGAGAGGAGAGGAGGAGAGGAGGAGAGAGGGAAGAGGGAAGAGGGGAGAGGGGAGAGGGGAGATTGTAAGTCGAAGATTGAAGGGTGAGACAGAAGAGACAGAGGTCGAGTCGTAGAAAGGGGAGAAGAAGAAGCCGGCGCTCGAATCGAGAGGGAGGACCAGCGGTGGTATAAAAGGAGGAAACTGGCGACATGTATTATTGTAACTTTGCCCGGGGGGTAGTAGGCGGAGGGAAGCTTGGACTGTACGTACCGAACATTACGTGACAGGGTTGCTTGTAACTTATTCTTGGAGGGAGAAAATTGAAAAAAAAAAAAAAGAAATTATAAGTTACGTTGGTCAGGTAATTTACAATACACCCGATACCGTGTCCCTGTCCCACCATGCTATGCTGCCTGTCGTGCTCCCTCCCATCAAACAGCGAGACACCGCCGGCCAGGTTGCTGTGCTGTCCCCATCAGCGAGTGATGGTTGAAAAGATGAGAATCCTATGGAGCAGAAACACCCGAAGACCATCTCCAATGGCGACGATCCTCCACATATCCACATATCCCAGAGTGATCTTTTGTAGCCATATACTATACTTTCAGTTGGCACACAGCACAGGCGGGTGTACAGAGTTACTGTGAAGCACTGTAGCACCTAGTACGGAGTCCAATCCCTGCTGTTCGCCCGTTCTCCGAGTTATTTCCGGGCTCCCCAGGCATGTAAATTTGTTCATGGTGAACCCCTGACGAGGAAGCTTATTAGGGGGGGGGGGACGGGCCGTCGGGTACAATCGATGGTTACTTTGTATGGAGTACGGAGTACATACACAGCAGCGGGAAAATGGAATTGAAAATTTTCAATGCAAGCAATCTACAGCTTGGCCTTCCCAGTGCATATGTTGGACGGACGGCAGCAGCAAGCTCAGCAACGTCGATAGATACCAAAAAATTAAAAAGAGAAAAAAAAAAAAAAAAAAGGGAAAAAAGGGAAAAAAAAAAGAGGTTAACTAGCCTCTATGCCCCACCATCAAAAACGTTTGGTGGTTGTGATAACCGCTTGGCATTCTTGCCCGGTATCGGTGATTTTGGGGGATATCATCGTACCGTGTATTTCACAAACGCAACGCATATCAAGCATTTCGCCCGATAAGAATCAGCCGTGGCTCATGGCCCATGGCACGATGACCTTGGCGGGGTACGGGCTAGCGACAGGGCAGCATTTGTACATGTACGGAGTACATGCAGATGCACTAGGCGGGATGATGCGATTGGGCTTTGTGTTCTGCGCCGCCCCTGGTTTTTGGTTTTTAGCCGAGGGGCCACATCCAGTTCCAAGAGTTCGTCATTGTCCTACCTAAAATAAGAGGCCAAGGGAGAAAAAAAAACCAGAGAAAAAAAACCAGAGAAAAAAGTGAAAAGAAGTCAAATATATCAAGATATGATGCCCTATCTATCGTGGGACATTCTATGAAGCTGGGGAAGCAAAAAAAAAAAAAAAAAAAAAAAAAAAAAAAAAAAAAAACCAAAACTTACTCTACCCTCCTCCACAAATTTTTCCCCAGGCATTACCATGCGACGGCAGCATACAAGTCGTTGCTGAGTAGCAGTGCTAGTGGCCTGCGGGCCCGATCATATTCTTCGCCAAGGCTGCGCGAATGACAATTGCATCGGGGAGCTTGCGAAGTTGCAGGAAAACTTCTGCGACTCGACCAAACGGTTATTGGTAGGCATGCTGATGTTCCCTGGCTGAGTGAGATATTGCAGACCTCCCTGGTCTGTTTGCCATTCATTGTCGTGGGAGAAACCAAAAATAATGCAGGGGTGGGGCGATGTTTTGATCGAATTTGCTAGCCTCGTCGAATCCCTAGCTAGATATCCCAAAATACAAACGGGGAATAGTCGGGTACTATACTTGTTTGTACTATTGTGTGGTTGCTCATAGAAGCATATCCACCCGCATATCGGTGTCCGCTGTGAAATCAAGGGGTTGTCTAGAATCCTGGAGTTTCCGACTCGATATTGATCACCATTCCCGAAATGTACTGTACCCGTACATGTACGAGAGTTACATACCTCAAGCGGTGGGCAACAATTCACAATAAATAACAACCATCCAAAAGCCTCCTCGCGGTCCGATTTTCTCGGCCTGATATTCCAAAATGCTTATTTCTCCCCGATGCCGTTTTTAGCGCGCTGTGGCATAAGCTTTGGAGGGGCTCGCACTGCTCAAACCAAGCTGGCTACAGTGACTAGCGGAGAAGATGGGGAATGAACCTTGCAAGTGAGGCTGCTTGCCACATTTTTAAGGGAAAGGGGAGGCCGAGGCAGGTTGAAACATAGCGCTTGCAGGGAGGGCTGGGGGAAGTGGAAGACACGCGGCTATTCGTTGTTTAATTTCATTCCAAGAAATCCCAGCCGACCTGATCCAACCCATACTCGCGGCATTACCTCTTACAGATGCAAAGTTGGTGGGTTTCCTGCACTATTAAATTTGGACAAAGGCCGTCCCAAGGTGTGGCTTGGGCGGTTGTTGCTCATTGTCGGCCACTAGGGTACAGGACGAGAACCGTTACAAACCATTTCATAAGACTGTATTCGATACAACCTGTTTACGTTCGGTTAGCTCAATTGTCTTCTACGGACAGATGGATGATACCCGGCTGGCAGCATTGTGGGGTTCTTGTGGGAGGCTGTCAGGTTATACTCATGTGCATGGGTTCCTGTAGTCGCTTTCATTCAGAAAATTGAGATGTAGACATGCACATGAAATCTCAGCCGGGGGAAACTAGAAGAGCCGTATTTCCCTCTCCGTTTCATAGTATATCCCGGGCAACCTTGATCATACCACGGACTTGCGTCCTAAACAAACGTCCAAGTCAGGGTTTAGACACTGTGCTGTGGTCCAAGACTCCCAAGAGGGACGGGATGAAGCTTGATGATACACCCGACCAAGCTCCAGCTTCTTGATGAGCCATCTAAGTGCAACCTGCGTAGTTGCCCATGATTGTCCTCCATGTTCTCCTGTCGGCGCGCCTAACCTTATGGAAGCATTCGAGAAGGAGAAAAGACGCTAGAGCGTTTTAGTAGCGCGCCACCCTATCCCCTCGTCTGGGAGCGTTACTCCACACTCCCCGCAGTTTCTGCGGGATCTAGCACAACCATCGAATCATGGCATCTGTTAGACCGGGTTGATATCGTAAGCCAAGTCTTGAAATAACTATCTGTTGGTAGTTGCTCCGGCTAACTTGCTGCAGTCACGTGTCCCACATTCTATACAATAATGTTGATCCTCCTCCAGGTTATGAGACCCTTGTTGCTATCCATTCTAAAGCATTGCCAAACACGCTATTCTGCTCTTCCTCAAGCCTAGAGGTTGGTTCTGTGAGTCCTACAATAGTGGAAAGTCCGCAGCAGAGGCACCAGAAAGACCTTGAACGTGAGGCATTGAAAGTCCTCAAAGATGAGGCAATTGGAAGTCCTCTAACAGAGACACCTGATTCCCATGACCAAGGGAAATCAGCCACGATGGCTAGATCAAAAGAGTCAAGAAAAATCATTGTCTGAATTCTCTAGTTGGGGATACTCATTGTTCAGAGTCTCTAATTGAGATAACTGCTGTTCAGAATCACTAGCTGGGGTAATAAATATCATTGTCAAAGTTCATTGTCATCACACTCTCTAGCTGAGGTGATCATTACCTGAAGCTCCTAGTTGGAGCAAGAAAAATTGTCAAATTCGGATTCTCGAGTTGAGAATACCTGTTGTTTGAAGCCCCTAGTTGAGGTAATACTACTATTGTCAAGTTCATTGCTATTCTACATTCTCTATATAGAATGGGGGGAAGCTCCTAAGTTGGAGCAAATGATTTCAGAGTTCAGGGTTGTTGTAATGGAAATACAGAGATGGGGGGAACATTCGTGTGCTGTGCATTGAATTTTACAATTACTGCTGTACAGGCGCCTATTCCTCCTAATCAGGAAACTAGAGTCTGAATCTTGTAATTAATCGCTAGCTAGATTATAAGACAATAACATTGATCCTCCTACAATATTCACTGTGTAAAAGGTATTTTTTGTAATATCCCGAGTGATTTGTGGCTGGAACTTTTCAGAGAGAGTTTCCCTGGTGTCCTGAGTGGATCTGTGCTGCTGCTGGACAGTGAGCAACCAGGAAAGCAGGCAGATATTGAATTCCATCATGTGTCAGACCCTAGCTAGCATCAAGCGAAGTAAGACAAAGCTGACGAGGTATTAGTAGGCAGCACCCACAGAAAAGGAGTTTGCTTGACTCGTGGGTGCTATAGTTTTGCCTCCATCATGATTAGTTGCACTTCAGAGGTTTGATGATTTCATTGCGCCAAGCATCAAATCCATAGAAGCACCGCACCCAACACACGCTAGCTACGGAGCCTCAATGACTCCTAAAAATAGCACTCTGTGAACATTGACACAATGCAAATATATGATTTCAAAAAGCTATATCATCCGGGTTTTCTACAAACTCCCAGAAGGGAGTGCCTGGTTGGTATCTGCACCAATCTCCTCTCTTCCAGCTCCTCGCGAATGCTTTGAGTGGCCATTGGAGCCAATCGATTTCAAGAGGGATATTTCAACGTGCTGTACCTGTGAAGCTATTTAGGCTATTTAGATCAAACCTCTGGGGCGAAACAAGCGGTTACATTGCCCAATAGAAGCCCATCCTCTCTGAAGAGTTGTGAGTAATCTTGATATGGACCAGTGAGCTACATATTTTCACGACCGTGTTGGCCCAAGACCCCTCTAGCTACCGTAGTTAATGAATGCTCTCCCAGATCTATATGATTTGTATGATAGGTCCGCTAGTTCTGATCCGATCTGCCTGGGGTAGCCGTCCGACAAAAGCATCGGGGCGGAGAGGGTCAGTTGAGCATCGTGCCTGGGCATTCCGTTATCATTCCAGAAGTCTCAGTTGGACTACATGGGATAGACAAGTTGATTCCAGATCCTGGGTCCGTGGACCACTTATATTGCGATCTAAGGACCACGCCCGACGTCATTCATCTGCTGCCCAGGAATGTTCTCAAAATCAACCCAAGTTGTGAAGGTGCGGGTAGGGTACCGTTAAACTTCAATTAATACTCAGCAGGAAAAGTTATACACGTGCCTTCGCTTACCCCACGATGGGGTAAGAGAAGGGGTAAGCGAAGGGTTATGACTTAGCCCGTTCCGTCGATATGGGAAACGAAGGTCCCCGTATCATTGACGTGTGCCTTAGGGTAGACCTTGAGGCTAGGCATGATGATGACACTGGACAGGCGAGACCATTAGAGGGATTTTTGCAAGAGCTGCGCGCACATTGGCGCACATAAAATCCTTAACTGCTAAGTTGCCACGTACAAGCTGGGTTTTAATAACCACCATGTAATTATTTAAATTGCACTATCCAAAGAGCTTGTAAAGTCAGATCTTGGTGTTTATAAATTGGATAATCTCTAGATATTCTTGGTAACTTGCTCTGTAATGATCAGCAAGCTCAGCCACTGTGCAGCTCATTGCTGTTTTAATTGATGATTAGTCACGTCACTATTTGAAACTAAACCTAAATAGACAATAAGCTAAACTCAAATAGATCAAAAATACAAAACTACTACACACAGCACCTGAGAAAGAACAGTTTCAGTTTATCAGAAATATAGAAATAATTTACTCTATATCTTAATTATGAGTGACTCAGAGTGAGAGTAGTAATTTAACTTTATCTATTCATTATTTCTGTATTATTTTAAAATCTAGAGAAATCAATATTTTTAATAATATTAATTTTTTATTTTCATATTTTTATTTCTTATATATGAAGTATTATTTCAAAGTTAATTTATATTTTTTTAAATACAGAAATGATAGAAATTGAAATTCAAAGTTATATAATATCAATATTCTCTGAAAATATATAATTTTTCCCCAGATATACTGTCATGCTGAATTACTCAGGTAATATCTGCAACTGAGCAGAATAGAGGTCTGACCGTCTGAGCCTGCTGAGATAAGTGGAGGGTGCATAGTTATCTAGCTTGTCGCCTATGAGAGTCACAATGAGATGTCACTAACCTGATTTGGAATTTACATGTGTGCAAAGAACGCTCACAAGGAACTCATTTTCTAATAATTTTCTGGGGTGCACGGCCTACATTATTTTGCAACATGTGACTGATGTATTCCCAGAGCTCCCGAGAATTCGCCCTCTCCGGATCTAAAAATAGGATAAAAGCACCAGAATCCAGGGTGTGCTAGATCGAGTGAAATGACGCGGGAGATTTTTCTTCTGCTTAGGAAGTGGATAAAACTACTCCGTAAACAGGGGGCTGGATATTCATCCATATTCCTGTTAAAATCGCCCAGAGGCTAGCATTTGGTTCGTAAAAATATTTAGACATTTCGCATTATGGCCGTATAAACATCATGACTTATCTTCAGACTTCTCTTCACCAAACAACCACATCCCAGCACCAAGGACAAACACTGCAATTCTCCCATCCCTCACGAGCTCTCTCAGAATCTGTATCCAAGCCCGTGCATTCTTGAGTTCGCCGTCTCTAGCTCGTGTCAAAACTCTCGTTCCACACAACACAACCTCCCCAGTCAAGAACAGTACAAACGGATTTTGGGCAGTTGCAGGAGGCGGAGGATTCGGTCCGAAGGTCAAAACAGAGGACCGGAACAGACTGAGTAAATATATGCCCATTGCTAGAGAGAACACCACATGTACGAGTTTCCAAATGGATGTAATCCGTTGCTCCGCCGGCGAAGCAGGTTGCGAATTCCCGCCAAAGAAGAATTTGGCTAGGTATGGTGGAACACCAAAGCCGGAAGCAATATCGGCTAGATTAAACGCTGGGCCTTCTCCGCCGCCAGGGAAGGTATCGCTGCCAGCTGGTCCTCCAGCTAATAAGCTGCTTAGCAAAGCCGTTGGGTTTTGCTCAGGAGTCTGTTGGTCCAAAGGCTGTTGTGAGCGTAAAAGAGCCCGCAGATACTCTTCCTGTGCTTTGAGACCTTCGGGAGTCTGATCTTCGACATTGGGCGATGGAGGTAGAGGGGAAATGGATTTCGGCGGTGCATGTGGGCGGTGTTCGGGGGTTGGGGTAGAATCGGAAAGTGAGGCGGGAGAATCCTCCCTCAATGCTATTCAATTGAGTTAGAAGTTAAAACCCACGAACTGACACTTTCAGGCGCGAGATGATATATATCTTACTGTTTGCAGGTGTCCGTCCACTGAGACTGGTGATCTTGTCGAGCCTCGCAGAACCATCTGCTCTAATTTTAGCTTCGCGGCGTTCACGCCGGAGGCGAGCTGCCCGCTGGGCTGGCGATTCCTCTGTTGCTGACATTGTGGTTGGTAAGTAGGGTATATAGGTCCGGATATTATTTAAAAGTCAGCTCGTCTTTCGATGTCTTACGAATTTTGGTGAGATGTTCGTCGATACTTGGCATCATGCTACTGAGGTCACATGATAAGTTAATTATACCCGTGGACGCTGCCAAGAGCGATCAACTCCAAGCTCTTTCTACATAACCAACCTCTGGACAAGTTCAAACTACACGCTTGAATATTTACTCATACTCTAGTCCGTGCTGTTGACAGCAATGCGATGTTCTGTAGGTCTACCTAAGTTATGCAATCTGATATATCTTTCTCATTGCAAGAACAGGGATAGGCTCCTCCATGTGTCAAGACCTCCATTATTCTTAAAGGAATTGAATCGATTCCTAAGAAACCTTTCTGAACTTTTTCATTCAGCTTTAGATATTACCCCAATGCTTGAAATTCCAGAACGGTTTGGCATCCACGCTAATGGCGTGATAATCACATAATGTCCGCCTGACGACCAAACCAGACAGGGAAGAAGTCTTTGCCAGGGAAGCGTTTGGCTGGTACCGGTTTTCCCTTCTGCATCAGGGAGGGAGAATTGGAAGTGGATCTTCTGCTCTCTAGAATCTGTTTGCTTCCTATAGGTGGGTGCAATACCTGTCCTATATCCATCGATATAAACTTGTGCGCAGGTAATGTAACTATTCAATATCAGGCTCAGATTGGGATTCAGCCGATGACGCTGAAGTGGACATTTTGTCACGTGGGTCAAGAACCCTAACCAGAAACCCGTCCCCGGATTTGATCGCCATGAACGTCGTCACTTGGGTTGGATGCAAGGAATCCTGGCTATTGTTTTGAATTGGTGCGGCAGATTGATACCTTACTGGTCCCTATACTAATTAAAAGGGCTGTACCAATTGATGGCGGTAGTAAACCTTGGATCCCACAAGGCTATTCTAAAATCGCCACGATGACGTCTCTGCTACCAGAAAAGCTTCAATGGCGCCAATTCGATATTATTTATCAAGACTATATTTTGGGCTAGCCTCTTCCTTATATGATGTTAGCTGGATTATTTGACCTTCTTCTCTGATGAGGTCGAGGACGAGTCCTGATAACCACTTCTCGTCCAGCAGCCGATCACGCGTTTCTGTTCTGCATTCTATCAATTAGCTTTGCCAGTCAATATGACAAGTGAAACTCAAAGGTACCCTGGTGGGCATTGGGGCGCAAACAATCCGATTCCCACAGTCCAAAAATTCCTCCGTAACTTGGACCAGGAAAAGGAGGAGAGGGATAGGCAAATTGATGAAGCGGCGAAGCTCAAGCAAAAAAGGGGACAGGATAAGCAGAAGCAAAATGGCGAACAAGATGAGGATACGGAAGTGACAGCCCATACCCCTTTGCAGCCGAGGAAACGTGGGCGCAAAGTAATAGACCCGACAACTGGAAGAGAAGTTGAGATTGATGACGTTGGAGATGAATTCATGGCCACAGTTAAAGAGCCACAGGTATTTTCTATCTTCCACTTTCTGCCAGGCCACAACTAACGACTCTCTTTAAAAGCTTTCCGTACCCAATGCAAATCTGGGGAAGGAGACGGTATGTTCAACACCAAATTCATTGATCCCGGGTTCAGTAACTTATTGTGAAGTTTAGCCTATTAAAACAGAGCCCACCCAAGATTTGCGAGAATACAAACGAATTCAAGACCTCGTCTCACCGCCAGATCCTATTGCCGAAGGCACTACATCTGATGTGCCAATCCATGGAGAGAAAACCAACATCTTGTTTCATCCTACTCCATCAGTCAGCTATGAGCCAATGTACCAGGCTTTGGAAAGACGTGGGACGGTGCTTTCTCTGTGTATTTTTTGTGGTATTGTGATTCCGGGTAAATTGATCGGTGGCTCACTCAAAGGGCTTATTCCTCTCGCTATCTGTATTACCTCTGGAGTATGGCTGTGGATGCAGGATATCATCCGCAAAGGACGAGATATGGAATGGAGCAGCGAACAACGTCGCGGGGAAACGGTATGTAATTCTAGTCAGGTATGGTATATTGAGTTATTACTGATCTTATTCAAGGCCACAGTGAATTTAATTCCAGAGTCAGTTGAATGGATGAATACGTTTCTGTCAATAGTCTGGGGTCTCCTAAATCCAGACATGTTCGCAAGCGTAGCAGATACTATCGAGGATATTATGCAGGCTTCCGTACCGGGAATAATCGAGAATGTCCGTGTGGCTGAGATCGACCAAGGATCGAACCCATTTCGGATCCTCAGCTTGCGAGCACTCCCAGATAGCCAAGTGGAGGACCTCAAAAACGCAGCGCATGAATACAACAAGGAGACAAAATCTGCTCAAGAAGCTGCTGCTGATGAGGAAGGAGGCTCCCATTACAACCTCGAATGCTCGTTTGCTTACCACGCTAAACCAAGCGGTACAAGCTCTTCCTCGAAGGCTGCCAATATGCATATGCTTTTGGTATTTTACCTGGGTATCAAGGGACTTTTCGGGGTTCCACTGCCAGTTTTCACCGAATTAATCCAGCTCATTGGCACTGTGAGGCTTCGATTACAGATGACTCCTGACCCGCCCTTCGCTAAAACCTTGACATTCAGCTTGATGGGAGTCCCTCATGTCCGGGCCGGTTGCGTCCCAATGGTAAAGAGAGGAGTAAATATCCTCAATTTGCCGCTGATCTCCAATTTTGTGAACTACGCCATCAAAACTGCTGCGAGCATGTATGTTGCGCCAAAATCGATATGTATGGATCTACGCATGCTACTACAAGGAGATACCATACAAAAGGATACTCTGGCACTAGGAATTATGTGGGTCAGGATACACAGAGCCACAGGCCTTAGCAAACAGGATAAACGAGGCACCGACGGTGGAGGTAGCGACCCTTACATCAATCTATCTTTTTCAAAATACGGAAAGCCGATGTATTGTACCAGAGTCATCACCGATGATCTCAATCCAGTATGGGAAGAGTCAGCCGCCCTTCTAGTGACACCAGAGCTCATTAAGGCCGACGAACAGCTCAGTGTCGAGCTATGGGATTCTGATCGCAATACTGCTGATGATATTGTTGGAAAAGTCGAAATTTCCATACAGAAGATGTTGAAGCACCCGGGAAAGATGTACCAGCTAACTTCCAAGCTTCAAGGGATGGATATTGGCTCTGAGATGCCTGGGGAGCTTGTTTGGGAGGTAGGATACTTCGGGAAACCGCAATTCCGACCGGCTCTTCGGACCGATGGGAGGGATCCAAATCTACCTGCGACAATGAAGGATGATGCAGCACTGCAAGATGAGAAGGGTACTATTGACACTGATGAAGCTTATGCTGTCACCCATACACCTCCAGATCCGCTTTGGCCAAGTGGTATTTGCAGTGTTGTCATTCACCAAATCGTTAATTTGGACCTAGCAAACATTAAAGGGAGTTTTGCGAACGGCCGAAGCAGTAATAGGGAGTACGAACCCGCAAAACCATATGGAGAAAGTACAGATGAAGAAGGAAAGCAACTTCCAACTAGTTACTGTACAATCCTTTTGAACGATGAGCTTGTATGTCGTCGCCTTCCTTGCTGTGCTTAACTTTGATCTCTTCGTATTCTAACCGTTTGGGATCCAGATTTACCGCACCAGAGCAAAAGCTGTAAGCAGCAAACCCATATTCAATACAGGAACAGAAAAGTTTGTGCGAGATTGGAGATCCGCGATTGTTACCATTACGGTCCGGGACCAAAGACACCGGGAACATGATCCAATTCTAGGTGTTGTGCCCCTTAAACTGTCTGCTATTTTACAAACCAGTTCCCAAGTAACCCGTTGGTATCCATTGGATGGAGGCATTGGCTTCGGACGTATTCGAATTTCTCTTTTGTTCAGAAGTGTCGAAACAAGGTTGCCGCCTCCTCTTCTCGGTTGGAACGTCGGGTCTTTCCAGATTACATCAGATCGCATTACCGCCCTGGATTATCATCGTCATGCCAAACTAAGGGTACGAACAAGTGGGAGTATTGGTACGCTACCCCGACGAGCGTGCGGTACTCTTGAGGGCGGCAAGGGCATGTACTTCGACACCAGCTCTCAAGAGCTGAAAGATCGGATCCACCTACCAGTCAAACATAGACATAGGTCTGGAATCATTTTCGAGCTGCACAAAGGGGATAAGCCGGGCTGCGCCGTCTTCTGGCTTCATCAATGCATTGATAACGAAGACACGGACGTCGATATCCCGATCTGGAACACAAAGAACGAAGCGCGCCTGACGCAGAACTATATCACTGAAGAAAACTGGCAACAGAAACAAGTTCCAGGCCTGGAAGACCTTACCATCATAGGGCGTCTTCGGTTCAAAGCCAAATTCACCCCGGGTATTGATGAAAGCCACCGCCGTTTTGTTCAGGATAACGACTCCCGTGAAACATTTGAGACGTGGGAAGCATGCATATCCGAAGGAGTACGGAGTCAAACTGTTTCAAGAGAATTACCAGACTCCATCAAAGAGTTGCATGACAAGTCTCTCCTCCAAGAGCGTGATATCCTCCGAGCAGCAAGTGCGGACGAGCAAAAACGCTGGATTACTGCCGACGGGGTCGATTGGAACGAGGCATTCGGCACTGATCCCCATGAGCTTGCCGATCACCAACGACGTAACCTCGTTGACATAGGCGTCGAGGACCATGTGCGGTTTTCAGTGTCGTCTATGCAAGGCGAGGAACGGAAGGGCGCGGAGGCTTCCCACTCAGGGTCTTTGAGACAGGATTCAGGTTATGCAACAAACAGCCGGGAGCAAAATCTTCCTGAACATGCACGCGATGATATCAATGAAAACGCCGTCGACGACCACAGTGAGCATCATCACCAATCCGGAACTGACGCGGACGAGGCCGATTCGTTCACCACCACGGATACCAATCGAAGATCGTTAGAGACCAACGAGCAGCGTGCGCAACGCATCGGGAACAAGGCAAATAAACGGACTGAGCATCGCAAGCAGAGGGGAATTATGCAGTGGAAGCCAGCGCGTAACGCGGCGTTTGCGAAGGATGAGGCTTCTTTCGCCCTGAAGAAGGTTAAAAAGAAGTTTACGGGCGGGCTGACGGGGAGGGAACCTGGTGTCGAGACAGAGGTAGGCGGTTAATGGGAGGATTACGGTTACAGTTAACTACTGCAGTTTTGCGAATGGGAAATATTCGTTTATCCTCCTTGAACTCTTGCATTTCATGCAATGATTTTATTTTATTTTTCCCCTTTCTTTTTTTATCCCCTTCCATATGTACTGTACCTATTTTAATCCTTCTATCACGTTACGATTTCCAATAATATCTATCAATTTGTCAAATACTAAATTTACCGAGGGCTCATCCGCCCACCACACACGGGAAATATATTCTCTATGAATTTTCCCCATCTTCTCCACACTTTGGCCCCCCAAGCTACCTTCCTATGCTATGCCCTGTGTGATCCTTCCAGCCCGCTAGCTATGTACAGCACGTAGCTCCCCCGACCCCCTTAGCAACTGGGGAGATAATATCTATCCGGCGCTCGGGCTAGAGTGAATCGAATGGTAATCCGCCCCCGCCTTCCTGAATAGGCAGCTGACTGAAATCAGAAGGATGTTGATACAAATGGTTCGGCCCCCTTAACTACCAGTTTTAAGCCTGGTTGGTGGTGATGGAGCTCTTCTGCCCAGTCAGTGGCCTACACAGAGGAACCTCCCCCCCCCCCCCCCCGGGGCCCCTGTGGGTTTTTTTTTTTTTTTTTTCCCCCCAAAAGTATAGGTGGGAAAGGGGGATTAAATATGAAAACCCCCCCCCTCCCCCCAAAATTAAGGCGCTTTCCCCCCCCCGGGGGGATTTTTTTTGTTCCCCCCCCCACCCCCCCTTGGGGAAGGGGAAAGGTGGGGCCGCAAATTTTTGAGCCTATCCATGGGGGAGGGGGGGAAAAAAAAGGGCCATTAATATAAAGTTTTGGGGGGTAGAGCGGGAAATAAAAAGTAAAAAATTGTTTTAAAAAGAAAAGCCTTTATTATTGGAGGGGAAAAGGGGGTGAAAAAAAAAAAAAAAAAAAAAAAAAAAAAAAAAAAAAAAAAAGGAGGGGAGAGAGGGGGGGCGATGACAGTTTTGAACCCCCCCCCCCCCCCCCCCCCCTCCTCCGAAACCCAACAAGCAAGCTAGTATTTAACTAGCTAACGACTACAAGATGCATGCCAATTTCAATAGCTTCTATAGAGTACTCCGTAGGTGTGGGGGCCATAGGGGTATCACAACTACACTGTGATACTTAATACACTAACTAACTAGAGGGTTGGGTTGTGCGAGAGCTTTAAATGGAACACTCTGGGGTCATAGAACTTTATTGAAAAACAGAGTTGCTGTTGCCGGAAACACTAATGATGATCAATCCACCTCGAATTGAGAAGAGGGCTGAAGGAGAAAAGAAAAGAAAAGAAAGATATATATATATAAACTCCGTATATCAAAAGGGTAATAATAGTATATAACTAACTTATGATATGATGGTTTTTACTATGAACCCCTGTCCCGTCCATCATACTGCTTGCGCATAATGCGTACATTGCCCGCTCATAGGTGTATATCCCAAAAAATAAAAGTCCATGCATCAACGCTAAAAGGCGAAGAGAGGAAGAAAAAAACGTTCGCTCAGTAGCTCCGTAAATACGTGGGAAGTCATATGGAAAAAGTAAACAAGTAAATAAGAAGAGAAGAGAAGAGAAGAAATGTATGTAGAAAAGAAGAAAGCGGGTTTAAAAACAGGGGTTTTAATATAAGAAGGGAAGAAGAAGATATATAAAATAGTAAATCGAAATAGCAAAATAGATAGCATAAAAAGCCTAAAAATAAAATTGTGTATATATAAATTAAAATAAATAAAAGAGAAGAGAAACGGGGACGATAAACGAGTCGGGCGGTTCAGTCCTTGTAAAGGTTGGGGTGGGGAAGCTAGTAAGTGTATTGAGTAGAGGAAGTTGCGCGACTAAATATAGAAACTGACAACCGTGGGCCAAGTTTTCCTTTTTCTCCAGCTGGAGGCTGGAGCTCGACGCACAGCACAGGGCAAAGAAAAAAAAAAAGAAAAGAAGAAAAAAGTGGAGAATCAAATCGTGTGGATTCGCGGAGAGTGATACCCAATGTTAGAAGCCATGAAAACTATTATTACCAACGGGCTTTGTTTGGATATTGGATGATTGGGTGGTTTGTAGAGAGCTGGCGGCTGGAGGAAGATAGGTGGGTTTTTTTTTTGGTTTGTTTCATGCAACCGGCCGGTCAACTGGTGCTTCCCTTCTTTCCTTCTTCATTCGAACCAGCGCAGCGAGAAGTAGATGGACGGAGGTTAGATGATGATGGTAGGGATAGGGATAGGGATATGGTTGTGTATTCAGATTCGTCTTCCCCGCTATACCCATCCTCCCCTCCGTTGCCATCGCGAAATCAGCCCGCAGCCCACCAAGCCCCTAGACCTGCTGCATCTGTAGACGGAAATTTTGGTGTTCTGTATCGCTCAGTGCCAGCGCGCCCTGGCCTTGATATGACGATAGCGCATAGCATGTAGCGGAGTACCTCATCCTAGTTCGTATATCCATTCGTGTATCCGGCGCCTCGTTGGACGAAGGTGGACGAAATAAGGTACAGAAGTAAGGTTCTTTCTCAGGAAAAGGAAAAAATAAAAAGTAAAAGTAAAGTAAAAGTAGAAAACAAGAGAAGAAAAGAACACCCCGCGCTCGATAGTGTATAGTGGTATATTCCTTTTTTTATTTTAAACAATTCATCCGTTTCGTTCTCGGTTTTCGTTTGCTTCGTTGGCTCGTGTTGTCCAGGCTCGTTCAGAATCCCGGTCCCCTATCCCAAAAATAGAACGTTGCCGTAAATCAACGCTAAAATAAACGATGGGGAATGAAGGCGGAAATAGAGTAGATGGGGTATATAGAAAGCTTTCGTTGGTAGAGTAATGCAAAATGCAATGCAGGCGCTTGTAATGTTAGTATATAGGTGCATAGGTAATGTCGGTGTGTATGTGTAATGCCAAGATATGCAATTTTGCATAGGTCGGTAGTATAGGGGGAATCCCACCGTGCGGCAATTTCCCTCTTTGTTTTTTCCAGCTGGTGTTTCGGTCAAGGAAAAGGGCTTGATCCCAGACTCTCAGGTAGGGGCAGGGAGGAAGCTTCATGCAGAATGTCACACATGGGACCCTGGGGAAAACCATCCTGTGGCGGCGCGAGTGGGTCTATGCATGGGTGAGTAGTAGTGTTTACCAGCGGGCTTGGCCGCCGCTTTGGTGACGGGCATCTCAACGTGGGAACGGCCATTAATTTTGGTTCAGGCGCAGAATTCGATGCAGTCACGGAAGTTGCCAGGTCCGGCGCCGTCACCGTCGCTGCCACGTCGGGATCCGGGCTGTTACTGGAGTTGGTATTAATATCATTAACTTGCTGCGCGGTTCCGTTTTCAATCGGCCCCAGGGTCCATCTCCATTTGCGCTGACGCTTCCGTCGCTGGTGGAGGAGGGAAGTTTTGGGAGTGTCATCGCGGTAGCCATATGCGCTGCTGCCGGAACTGGCTAGATCGTCTCGAAGCGCTACTGCTCTGATTTGTCGCTCGCTTGTGGAATGTTTCCGCTTAGCGGTCCGTGGGCGCTCGACGGCGGCCGGGGATGGGTTGTTATTTTTAACAGCACCGCCACCGTCTTCACTAGCGTTGCGGTCGATAATATTGTTCCTCGTATTTTCTTCCGCGGGAGGCGGCGCAATGGGTTCGTCGTCATCTGAAAAGCTGGAAGAACGGGGTTGCGATGGAGATGAGTCTGACTCTTCACTCTCGTCTGATGACGTGTAGACATCTGAGGGTCCAGATGGAGAATCTAGGGATAGGAGATCTGAGTGCTTGGCAGTATAGCGGGTGGTCTTAATTTCCTCGTCGAGCGGACAGCGATATTTGACCTGTCTTTTCGCAGGGAAGAACACCCTGCGTCCGCTATGTCCATTGACAGAGCCATTACTACCTTGCGCAGCGAGCGGGGCCCGTCGTAGCGATGCGGACGTAAGAAGCGGGGAGTTGCGCAGAATACTTCGTAGCCCTAGTGGAAGTTTGTAAGGGATTTCGTCATCCACTCCTTGGTAGCTGCACAGGTAAGACGAAGTTCGTTTTCCAGCGCGGGAGGAGCATTTTGGGGACGAGGCGCCAGTTGTTGATGAGGATGGCGGGCGTCTAAATCCGTCGTAAGCATTGCTAAATGTATTCCGTACTGTGGGGGACTGTGAACAGCCTGCTGAAAGGGCTAGAGAAAGCGCCGTTGTAGATTTGCCAAAGGTCATTGGAAGTGACGAGGTCTGGAGTGATAGCTTTGGCCGTCTGCTACCGTTGGAGGAGGCATGGCTTGTGCTGGTAGATATCGGAGGGGGGACGGGTGGCTTCACAAGCGTATCGGGAGGTGTTTGCGATTCCTGCTGCGGCGGCGGCAAAGGAGAAGATGAGACGGAAGTCGAGGCGGCAGGAGGCGGGGGAGGCGGGGGAGGAGCGGGAGTGAAAGAGTTTATAGACTCAGAGCGGGTCGAAGCATCGACTGGCGGAGAATCATCCGAGTCTGGGGATTGGATATGAGGCGGCTTTGGGTTAAGAGAAATGGCGAGCATTTTGAAGAGGGAGGATATCCAGTGGGAGAGCGAGGCGAGGACACCCTGTTCAGGCTCAAGAGAAGCTGTCCACACCGACGGAGGCATGGAGGAAGTGTACAAGGGGAGAGATAGCAATTGGGCTAGGAATAAGCATGGTGTCTTTTGTTGCGAGAGGGGAGCTGTTTCTATTGCGCCATGATGGCAGTTCAGGTCGTATGAATGTATAGCAGGGGATCTGCAGCTTCTTTCCCTTTTCTCTCTCTTTTCCTTTCCTTTTCTTTTTCTTTTCTTTCTCTTTTCTTTTCTCTTCTTTCTTCTTTTTTATCTGTATAATTCTTTTTCAGTTTTTGTTCCCCTTGTTTTGCGACTAAGGTCTGTCGTAAGCTGGGGCCATATTAGAAGGTAAATAAGGCGGACGGCAGACCAGTAGCAGGCAGGAGAATAAGTTAACAAATGGCAACAACAACAACAACAACAACAATAATAATAATAGCAATAAGCGGGTGACGACAGAGGCGCGAGGATAAAAATAACAGAGACCGTCTGTATGTATGTGCGAAGAGAAAAGGTTCGTCAGCTGCTATGGCCGTTTCGGGAGTGATGGAGGAGTTTTGTTTGATGGTTGTATGGCTGTATGGCGATATTTTGATGAAGACCACGACGGCCGCGATGGCGCTTTGTGGGAGAGGGACCGACTAGTCCTAGACTACTCCCTTGGGTGTTAATAAGTGGCCTATTCTTAATCCCAAACCCCGAGGTCTGTAGGGTGGGGGAAGATAAAACCCGAGATTTAGATGGATATGGATAGATGCTGGGAGGCTGAGCGGGGAGAGGAGGGCGGAGGAGAGTCGATGATACGATACGTACGGCTTCACGAGGATATACGGATAGATAGATAGATAGAAGGACAAGTTTGAGAAGAGAAGAGAGAAGAGGAGAGAGAAGATAGCAGAAGAGGAATGAATAGACAAGGAGGGGTCTCTGGCAGAGGTTTTTATTTAACCGTCCGTATCGTATCAGTGTTGGCTCTTAGTTCGTGATCGGATGTGATGGAACGAGGGAGGGCTTGCAGCAGCAGCAGCAACAGCAACAGAACAGAAACATCTATCTGTTCAGCAATAATAATAATTAAGTTAGTTACAGTAGTAACTACTTTACATTATTATATTAATTATTATTATGGCTTGGAAGGGAGAACAGGCAATTTAAGATACATATCCACTGTTTGTTCTGGTGTCTCTCTCTCTCTCTCTCTCTCTCTACCTGTCTATTCGCTATTCGGCATGGTGATTCTATTGTTTCAGAATAATATTAACTATTTATCGCCCGCGGTCTTGTCTCTCTTCTTCGCACTTTGATTGAGTTTCAACCACTAATAACTACATACTACAATATTCGCATAACCATCCCTCCGTACAGAGGAACTACGCTGCGTACAGTACGGAGTACAGGCGACTCCCCGTACTCCCCGTACTTCTTACTATTATTATTATAAGTTACTGTGGCTGTTAGCGCAGCAAGTGGAGCATCATCCGGAACCTGGAACATCCAAGGCCTGGCGGCTTGCTGGAGGATATTTTGTTCAAGGCAGATCGCTCTCCGAATAGAAACAAACGTTGCGATGGGCGCTGCTATAAATATCCAAGAAAAAGTCAATATAGTTAAAAATATATAAAAATACATACTACATACAAACTTCTGCTGGACAGATAGACAGACCTGACTTGATTATGCGGCCACTTCTTTTCCAAACTGTCGAATAATCTCTATTATTATTTATTATCTTGAGCTCAACCAATTTCCCGTCCATTAATAATTGTGTCATTATTGTATTTTCTTTCTTTCTTAGTATTGTGTCTCTCGTTCCACGCTAAAAATACAACTGAACCATCTTGGCCGCGACGATCCGGTACGGTACATCGTGGTACATCTGCTTCTCAGCACTAGCAGCGTAGCCCCCAGCAAACTCCGCCTTCTAAAAGTATCTCGGCGTAGCTCCCACCAGGCCGGCCCAACTTCACACACAGAAATATACATCTTGCCATCGCCAGCCCAGCAAAACATTAGGAATTGCCATCTACTAATGTATTATTACTAGATTACTAGTCGCGAAGAATAAATGGAACCCCTTGACTTCATTATTGCTGTGTATAATTTTAACTATTTTTTCGCTCAGGGTCACGTGGCGATTTGCATTCAGCCACTTGTCGTCAGCCACAGTGTGGCACTGCTGTCCATCCCTGATCGGGAAAGTGGATTGCCTACCTAGGAATTTTGCCCTAAGCCACCACCAAACATCATATCATATCATATCATATCATATCATATCATATCGTCTGTAAGACCAACATCTCAAGATACCGCTAACATTACTCCGTCCTCTCTTGCATCTCACGGGAAATCAAATCCAGTGGAGTATGTGAAAGTTGGTAGAGCAGTTTTTTAACTATAAGCGTCGTACAGCGAGCGTAGTTATCCCTGCTACCTAACTACTCTACTGCAGCCACTTACGCTGTACACTACTGCTCTTCCCTCAAACCCCCTCCCCTGCCTGTGATCTCCCAACCGTCGGCAGAGTCATCCTCTTTTTGGCTTTACTGTACATACTACTCTACTCTGTATACTGTACAGGCTGCAGAGAAGCCTGGAGTGAGAATCTTCCCCATCTAGACTTTTCCTCCGCGGCGTGCATCGTCCGCTCCGCTACCTTGTCCTCCTGATCCTCCGCTCGCTCTCTACGCATAGTATCTCTATCTGTCTCTCTCTCCAAGCGCCCGCGCTATTATTAGCGTGAAACAAACCCTTTCCGCTATCCTTTGCCTCGCAGAACATCCCAAGTCCTTCTCTTCTAAACCCTAATCTTCTTCATCTTCATCATCCTCCTCTGCCCATCATCAGACATCCATCTGCGGGTGTTTGCCGAGACTCCCTTTGTCTCCAGGTAACCCTGCATTCCATCCCAACGGCGGTGTACATAGTACTCCGTAGATACTTGCATGATTAACAAACTTGAACTTCCCCCCTAACCCTTGCTTACTCAATTGCCACCCCACGTTTTCTCTTTCAACGCAGTCACAGCCAATGAGAAAATATCCCACCCCATCCCGAGGCTGTTTTTTCGGCTATTTATCCATATGCAGATGGACAGGAGCCATCTTGTCTAGGTAGGAAGTGCTGCCTCCTTTTTTCCGTCTCGCAATTTTATTGGGCCGGGGCTGGTTGGTTTTTGCCCTCTCTTTCTTTTGCTATCCTGGTCTATATCCGAGGGTAGACAAAAAAAAGAAAGAGAAAAAGAAAAAGAAAAAGAAAAAGAAAAAGAAAAAGAAAAAGAAAAAGAAAGGAAAAATAAAGAAGAACAGGAGAGAAAATTCCAGTCATGGCAAACCTCTTCCGAAAAAAACAGAATGCCGTCTCGCTGCGCAGAGATGATAGTAGGATTATCTTGCACTTTGTTAGTAGGTCCCTGCAGTTTTCGTTTCATTTCTCTTCTTCGCTATTGGAAAAATTTAATATACATGTCTTTCGTGCGTTAGGTTTTATTTTATTTTCCTTTCCTTGATTCCCCTCTTCCTCTCTTTTGAGCTGCTTCGGATTTTAGCTTCTCTCTTGTGCAGAAGAGACAAGCTTAAAATTCCCCTCCCCTACCTCTGTCTATATGTTTCAACACGGCTCGTTAAAAAGCCGAGAATAAGTTAATCAGAAACTTGTACCTCATTGCCATTTATCACGCAGTTCCGGGCAATGCGAACTGACATGTGTGCATGTATTGATTTACCCAAATCAGAAAAAGAAGGGAAAAAAATCCAATTTAACCAAGTACATTTTCTTACGAAACTCTTTCTCCAAAAACACACTAGGATTATGATTGTTTCTACGCCTCCGTTTTCGAAGCGGAAAATCCCGCCCTGAAATCACTGCCGCTGGCCGTCCAGCAGAAGCAGATTGTCGTTACCTGCAACTATGAGGCTCGCCGTCGCGGCTTACGCAAGTTGCAACTGATCAAGGAAGCTAAGAAGGTGTGTCCGGATGTGGTCATCGTGCCGGGCGAGGATTTGACCAAATTCCGTGATGCAAGTAAGGAGATCTATTCGTTTTTAAGGGGGTTTGTTTCGGGTTGGGGTGGGAGGGTGGAGAGGTTGGGGTTTGATGAGGTGAGTTTTATATCCATCCATCATCCTGGATAGTTGTTTTGCTTAATACGGATGTTTACTGGAAAGTGGAATTTGATTGGTGTCCACATTGTTTTATGCGCTTTTTTTTCTTTTGGCTTGTTCCATTGAGGATACATACGTTTCTGATGAGAAAGGATTATTGATGGGTGGTCTACGCAGGTATTTTTGGATGTCACCTCCCTGGTAGACTACAACATCGACCTTCTCAACCACAATGACCTATCCAGCTCCTTTTTCCATCTTGACAAGACAGACCCAACCCAGGGCTTTGCATACGATGCGCGGACAGTGTCGGGGCCTTCATATCCCCCTTCCGGCCAAACCCCTCATACTTCTCTCAATGGCTCAGCCCCATCTGCCACATCAGACTCTCAGACACACCCGTTCTCACCCAATAGCAACAATGCCAATGCCAATGCCAACTTACAACTACTCCAACGCCTAATCCTGGGCTCACATCTAGCCAGCTACATCCGTCACCAACTCGAGGAACACAAAAGCTACACAGCCACGGTGGGCATCTCTACCTCCAAGCTCCTCGCAAAGCTTGCAGGAAATGTCCACAAGCCGCGGAACCAGACAACTCTCCTACCCCCCTATAATTCCACCAATGATGACGATGATGCTTACTTTGACCATGACGACGGCGACGATGATGATTATGATGAAAAACATGCCCAACAACAGAGCAACATCATCCGCTTCCTCGACGCCCATGATATCAGCGCTATACCTGGCATCGGCTTCAAAATCGCCCAGAAGATCCGTAGACATGTTCTTGGCCGCGAGCTTTCATCAGGTATATATGAACAGCTGTCAAAAGCTGACTACGTCACCGTGAAAGATGTCCGCTTACATCCGAACATGGGCCCGCTGACGCTGAATGAATTATTATTACTTTCTTCTAGCACTAGTAGTGGTAGCGGTGGGGGCGTCGGTAGCGGGGCATTGCCCAAGGATATCGGAATGAAGATCTGGGGCTTGCTCCATGGCATCGACCCTAGCCCCGTTGCAGGGGCCAGGGCTGTCCCTACGCAGATTAGCATTGAGGATTCGTATGGGGATGGGCAGTTGGAAGGGTTGGATGTGGTCAGGGGGGAGCTGGTGGCGCTGGCGAGGAGCCTTCTTAGACGGATGGTTGTGGACTTGACCGAGGAGGTTGAGGGAGAAGAGGATGGGGATGATTGTGATGGTGACTGTGTACAGTCAGAGCCAGAGCGGACGGAGAAGAGTAGAAGAGGGAAATCGACAAAGAGACGCTGGCTTGCGCACCCGCGCACATTACGGCTATCTACACGCATCCGCCTGCCCCCGCTCCCGGACGGGGCACGCGATTTCAGCGCGGGACGGGTGTCTAGGTCCTGTCCTATGCCGACATATATATTCTCTTCGCTGCTTAATACTGCAACTACTACTACGACTACTACTACTACTACTACTACTACAACTACTATTACTCCTGCTACTACTAACAATAATCGTAATCATACTCATCTCGAAACCAACGACAACGACAACGATGACAAACCCCGTGCTGGAGTTCACGAAGCCATGGTAGTACCAACGATAGACCCTCTAGCCATGCGCCTCGTGAACGAAACCATCCTGCCGCTCTTTCGTAGATTGCACCCTGAGAAATCGGGCGCGGGGAAGATATGCGTTATGAACATTGCGGTGACGAATATGGTTATGGTTGCGGGGGTGGGTGGGAAGGGTGGTGCCGGGAGGGATATTGGGAGGATGTTTCGGAGTCAGAAGAGGGTGTTGAGGGAGTGGAGGGGTGAAGATGGGGATGGGGATGGGGATGATGGCGGGTTACTAGGAGGGGAAACGGTTGAGTCTACTACCATTGGCAACAACGACGATGATGAAGATGATGATGATGGCGGTGGTGATGCTGCTGATCCTGATGACATGTGGGATAGCGAAGGAGACGAAGGAGATATAGATATACTAGGTAACGGCGATGCCATGATGACCGAATGTGCCATCTGCGGAGCGCTGATGCCTCATTTCGCCCTCCGGGCACATGAGGTGTATCATTCTGTTTGTCCCTAATTGATCACTAAAATAAAAGACCGGACTACCTGAGTTTTTTTTTCCAACTTATTTGATTTCCAACTCTGTATGTTAGCCCCCCCCCCCTTTTTTCTTTTTTTTTTTGAAAACACTTCTATCAGTATATTTTGTAGACATGAACACCACCCTTAAATTTATGCTCCAAATCTTTTTCAAGCAGAAGCAAGTTGCAGAGCTCAGAGCAGGTGATTCTTGAGTGGTGATGTTCTATAAAAAGTGATGAGAGATGGAGAAGTTGCAAAACATCATTTGTGTCAGTTGTACGGTACTTATGTTAGTTGCAGGAATTACACATCTCTTGAAAGTATCAGAACATACTCGTGTAATCTTCTTATTTTTATTTTTATTTTATATTTATATTTTACATTTACATTTACATTTACATCTCCTTTTAGCAAGTATGATTGGTTATTATTATACTGCTCTGATGTTAAGAATATGTATATATTCAGAAATTATCCAGTTATTTACAAATTACCCAAAGATATTTCTTCACTGTCCAGTCCAATATTGAATCCAATCCCCTTTCTGGTCCTGGAACAGAAGCAAGCGCTTACAGAAAAACAAGTCCCCCCTTAGATATTTCGTTATGGACACTTCTGATCCAATACACTTACTGAAATATAAATAGCCCCTGGACAATAAATAGGGCGAAGGACATGGGAAATGTGGGCATTACAGATGTGGCTCTCACACAAAGAATATTAATAAGGGCTTGAGTAGCATAGTACTTAGCAGAGGAGAGAATACGAATACCCAAATAAAAAGAGAGGAAAAATGAAAAGATTCCAGGGAAGAAAAAAGTTTCATATATTGATGAGAGCTTGGGACGATAATCTGCGTCTCAGGGATTCTGCAGAGAT